TTTATAAATACCATAACAGGCACAGTTTCTTACCTTTGAAATTGACGAGACACAATTTTGTCCATATAAGCGTTGCGCAAATAAAGATATAATTCCGGGATACAATATCCTCACACAAAAATGACTGTGATTTCCACCGAGATGAGAACTGCATATGCGTCATCAAAACTTGGATTAAACTCTGGTAATTTCGGGAAAAGCCGGATTTTCCAGCAGTTTTGAAGGAAAAATGTTAAAAATCAAAGAAAAACACAGTGAAACTTTGAAGAATCGAAAAAATAACTTGATGTGCATCATAGCACCATCAATTCCTGTCTCTGTACCAACTATGAACTGAATTGAATCACACATGTGTGAGAAAAAGCTGATAACGTGAAAATGTGCACACACGGATGCACAGACACGACCCAAATTAATACCCCCCTGCCCGGATCGCAGATCCAGTGGGGGCTTATGAATTTGTCACATGTGCATTGTAAATGTCGAATGTACGTGGTGGGATTTCGTTTGCAAGGTTCACCCTAACTCTGGTAAAAAAAGTTATTGAACCCATTCACAATTGCATCTTGGTCATTCAGTGTAGTCGTAACGTTGCTACCTAAGTAATGGACATCAATGTGGTCCGGTAATTTTGGTTTTTGTATGTCCTCTTCCTAATATTTCAATTGTTTTTTTCCAAGTTTTTTTCCCGTTTTTTCCATTATATTCAACAAACTGTTCTGAATAGAAATTACGTTTCGCATCTCTTAGAACATTTGTCACATAATTTCTATAGCATTTATATTTAGCCACACTGTCCGCATTATAATTACATCTAACCATTTATTGCCCTTTTTAACTCTATAGTTAACCCGGAATTTGGGGGGATAGTGTGGGAACCAAGTTGTTTGGTAATGAGAGGGGCATGTTTGTTACAAATATTCAAAAAAGTGCCCGAGAATGCATCATATACATTATCAACATCGTTACTACTACACATCGGACCAGTTCTGACTTTCAAGTTCATTTTTAAATTTGATTATATCAAGTTTGGAGTAGTCACGAAATGACATTTTACCAGTTTCCAGAAAATAAGTTTATAAGTCTTGAAAAATTCCAAAAATTAGTAGGTGATTGGATATTTTCACCTCTATTGTCCCTGTACTGACAAAATTTGAATGAATATTTGTGAATAAATGATCAATTACACTATGAGAGTTAGTTGTTATGCGTGTGGGTACATTAATAATTTGTTTAAAGTTGTAGCATGACAATGTGTGACAAAGTTTTCTAACATGACTAGAGTCTAAATTGTTTAAATTAATAAAGTCACCAACTAAGACACATTCGGAATTAATTGGTAAATTATGTAACACTGAATGCTCTAAACTGTCTAAAAACTCAACATTTGTGTTTGGTTTTCTGTAGATTATGACAATTACCAGCGACTTATTCCTACCAACATTAACATTTACCCACAATGTTTCAGTGTGTTGTACCTTGACATCAATCAAATTATAATTTGAATTAGAGGCGGGGAAACATTTGGTTGCAAAACACGTTAAACGCTCTCAAGCAAGTGGTACATGTGGCTACCGTCTTCACTTGAATTCACTTATTGAAATCATTCTTTTTTTGTTTCACAGATTAGTTGTTTGCATATCAATATGTCCAATACAAGTTCACGCTACCACTTTGGAAACTGGTCATTTTGTCATTTTCATCTGACAATTTTACCAAACTAGAGCTCACCCATTTTGTAAATTGTTTGCAATTTCTCTTAATGTTTTGATTACCCTACAATTGCTACAACAGAATTTCATGTGAAAGCAACACACTGGCGTCGATAAACAGGCTCGAAAACGATTGCTGTGACTTCATGTTTTTTGATATTTTTTTTTCAAATTAATAGCGTCTTTAACAAAAAATAGTGTACGTTTAGTGTCGTTAGATTAACACTAAACATAGCTGTAAGATGACATTAAGAGGAATACCTCCATGATCCAGGCAGACTATGATTATTTTTCAACATGTGACCTTTAGTTGGGTACCATGCAACTAAAATTGATCTTCGAATTCAGTATGTTACTTTTTAAAAAGCAGCGCATGAATACAACTGCCAAGATGCATTCAATTGTTAACACTTGACTACTGAACTAATAGGAAGCATGAAGAAACAGCATATTAGCGCAGCAATAATTGTGTAATTCATACAGTTTTAGAAAAAGTAATATTTATATATGAGCATGCCAACCTTGAACCCTGACAATTCTAAAAATATATATGTTACTGGGTCTTTTGTAGCCATTTAGATTGAAAGATGAAATCAAGTATGCCAACAGTAATAATACTCTTGCTACCATATAGATGCAAGAACAACAAACATGCCATTATTTTTCTATCTCCCGTGCGAACGACCAATAAACAATTGCGACCTTCTGATGTTCAAAGCACAACTTTCCTTTTTCAAGACACCATTTAATAATTCAACAGGGATTTGAAAACGTCTTGCATAATTTCTGTGACGTTAGGTGCCGACAACGTGGTTTCATTGATCTCTGACTGAACTGTGAAGAAAATGTACATCGTGCCTACGTCAAAAATGAACAATTTTACTTTGTTGTGGCATTTTACATCTTTAAACATCGCACATGCCTTGAATATAATTATAGTGATTTTATAGTTAGAATTTAGTAATTTAGAATTTAGAGTAAAAAGGTTCGTCACGATCATTATGTCGTATAATGAGACCCATTTTACAAGATCGGGGGTAGAGTGATTCGGCGTGACATTTGTTATCTTATGGTGAACCCTGGCTGGTTCACGCATCGAATCCTGACTCGCAAATCATCAATTTCATAATAGGAAATCGGGATGTCATTGAGACAAGACAAGACAAGACAAGACAAGACAGGCAGAACAGGACAGAAGACAACAATTTAATTCACAGTTAACTTTTTCAGTAACCGCTTCAAACTCACAAATCAAAAGTCAACAAACACGCACACATTTCAATGTTTAATTTACCACTTACCATGCTATATGCAACACATTACGCAAGTTATTCAATCTACACTCATAAACAACAATGTAAGAGCACTGAAACTACCGTAGTTATCTGAGTATAAACTATACAATTTATGCTAATTTATTCATAAACAAATTGTCATGTGTACGATACTACGATGAGTGTCGTCCAAATTAACTTGAGGATCGGCTGTTACGCCCTGGGGTAAATAATCACTCTTGGATGTGAATAAGAGGAACAGCATTCGAAACATCATTCGACCCTGCGTTTCACATGAATATTGGTCTGTTTTGGGGTAACGAAAGTATATTCTAAACAAAGTTTCAAATAACAAGTCATTGTTAATGACACAGTCCCCGTCCAAAATTTTGTGATCTGACATCAATTTGATGCTGATGAAGTCATTGAGATTAGATTAAAATCATTAATAGGAGATGGATTTGTAAAAAATTATGATTTAGTGCTTTTACACAAGAATTGGACATTGGGCAGTCATATTGAATCAAATTACAAAAACAATGTTCATGTTGATGTATCTATTGGTATACTGTCTTTGTACAAAATTTAAACAGAAATGTTCATTGCATTCATGGGAAAGTAGGCATGGGTATCATGAAAAACAAATTGGCCACCAGTCAGCCATATTAGTTTGAATCACAGAAAAAAAATATGACGTGCAACTATAACCTAATATGTATGATCATCATACCAACTTTGATTCAAATTGGCCTAGTCATCTCTGAGAAACAGCTCCAGACATGTAAAAATGACAATTTAGCACTTTCAGATGAAATTTGGGCGTCAGTCAACAATATTGAATCGAATCACAAAAATAATGGTGTAGTTGTATCACTTGTTATACAATCTTTTTAAACAGAAACGTTCATTGCATTCAAGAGAAAGTAGCATGGGTACCATGAAAAACAAAATGGCCGCCAGTCAGCCATATTTGTTTTAATCATGGAAAAAGTATGACGTGCACATATAACCAAATATGTATGATCAACATACTAAGTTTGATCCAAATCAGCCCAGTCATCTCTGAGAAACAGCTCCGGACATGAAAAATTGGGCGTCGGCCAGCCATATTGAATTGAATCAAAAAAATCATGTTGGTGCAGATGAATCTCTTGGTCCACTATTATACGATACTATCTATCGGCCCAGTCATCTCCAAGAAACTGCTGCGCACACATTTAGGTATCAGAAATAGCAAATTTTATATCCAAAATGGTAGCCATCATAAAGTAACTTGACGTGCATATGTAAGACATTATGTATTGTCTTCATGTAAAGTTTGAATGAAACCCGTCACTGGGTGTCCGAGATATAGCTCCAGACGTACGGATGGACAGACGGACGGAACAAACCCAAATTAATAGTCCCCGTTCAGTCCGAAAACTAACATTGCGTAGCAGCAAATGTTCACGGTTGTGCAATCCGGTCATGCTGCGTTTCACAATTGTTGATTACTACTCAGTAGTGATTATAATAATGTACAAAAAAATAAATGAAATGCAAATGAAATTAAACTTAGTTTCATCGTAAGCAAATGATTCCGGTCGCATATAAACACTCGATGCTGTGGGGTATCCGCCATGTTCTTTCTCTTGCACAAGGTGTGCAGGGGGTGTTGTTGTTGTTTATAATCTGATAAATGACTTGCTGTAAATTTGGAGGGGGACTTATACTCGAGCAGGGGTTTATACTCTGACAACTACATTATGTTTTCTGTTGTGGTGAAAAAAACATCAATTATGCCCAAGATCTCGCCGAGTATATTAAAGTGTGCCATATCTGCCTAATCACACCGAGCTCGACCTTGGGCTTGCTCTTTTGAGAGTGAGCCTTTCAATAACCAGGCCACTGGCACGTCACTGGCTGGCCATAGGCTAGACATTGGAGAGACATGGCGCACACACACAAAACTGTCAGCAAACATACTAGTTATAATACTCCTTATAAGCCGCCGATAGCGTCAACACACAATCTTTTACATACCTTCTTGCACATAAAGACTATAATCATTAGACATTGCTAAAGCTGCAGCTCCATCACTACCATGATCACCACCCTCTATAACTGGTATTCTGCAATTAAATATGGACCATAGAAGAAGCAGTATAAATGTTTTTGCACATTGTATTGTAAAGTACATACAGAGTTTCACCTATCAAGGCATGCCTGAAAAATGGTTAAAACAAAATACACTATTTTCTCTACGAGATGTACTAATAAAATTTAAACTGCATTTGGCATCATTAAAATATGACTTACAAAGTCTGACCATGCACAGACACACATAGACACACCTCTGTAATTTACACAGACACACCTCTGTAATTTACACAGACACACCTCTGTAATTTACAGACACCTCTGTAATTTACACAGACACACCTCTGTAATTTACACAGACACCTCTGTAATTTACTAGCCGCGCCTCTGTAATTTATGTTCACACCTCTGTAATTTACCTAGACGCGCCTCTGTAATTTACATAGACACACACCTCTGTAATTTACACAGACACACCTCTGCAATTTACACAGACACACCTCTGTAATTTACATTACATAGACACACCTCTGTAATTTACGTTCACACCTCTGTAATTTACATAGACACACACCTCTGCAATTTACACAGACACACCTCTGTAATTTACATAGACACACCTCTGTAATTTACATACACACACCTCTGTAATTTACATACACACACCTGTGTAATTTACATACACACACCTGTGTAATTTACAAGTCTGTTAACATACAAAAATATATTTGCTCTCGTGGACTATTAAAATATTACATACAAGTCATGAATGACACTGCCTTCGCTAGTTGTCATTCTAAAGTTGCATGGACATAAATTGGCAAACGTGATTTCTATGGCATTTTCAAGTTTATAGCACTCTCCATCCAGGTCAGCATTATTCTCAGCAAGGAAACCAGATAGCACCAAACCAGTACAACAGGTAAAATGACAAGGAAGTATACAAATCAGATCTGCAAATATGTCAGTGTTGTGTCTGTTTGGATAAACCAGTTTGTGGCCCGGGATTAGTTTCAATTTCTCTAAAAAGGACAAGATTACTTCTCATACGACAATGATACAATAAAGTGCAAAATCCAGAAAATATTATCAAGTTTTTTATTATCATACATTAATATTAACAAAT